AGAATGCCCAGACTATTGTGTTTTGGCTGCTATTGGTTTTTGTTTCTAAATGTTATATTTTAGTTTTTATATTCTATGACGGACAAAAATGCAATGAAATGTTATTTTTGTTTTTCTCTCAACAAGAAACAGAGAATACCCAGACTGTTACCGTCAAAGTGTCTAATTCCGGACCAGCAGGGTAAATCCGGACACTACTTTTATGCATTTTTGTCATAGAATATAAAAATAAAATATAACATTTAGAAACAAAAACAAAAACAATACTGAATGCAGTTTAAACACAGTCACATCATTTTCTCTCTGCTAGCCAAAACTGTTGCCAATGTAGCGCCTTCATCTATGTCTTCATCGTGTCCTGCCTGGACTTCATCCGGCTGGGGCACCTGGCCTGGATTGTCATCTGGCAGGGCTTGCTCCTGCAGGGGGGGCCGGGCCTGGATTGTGTCCTGGCTGGATATGATTCAGCTGTTGCACATGTCCTGGATTAGCCCCTGGCCCTTGCTGTACTTGATTCAGCAGGAGCACATGTCCTGGATTAGCCCCTGCCTGGACTTGGTTCCAGTGGCCTTGAAGCTGATCATTATCATCGTCTTCATCATTTCTTGTTTTTCTTCTCAACATATTGACTAGGGTTCTGTCCGCATCAAAATCCTTTCCTTTACTGTTAGCCGAAGTGTAGCCTTATGAAATAAAGAAACAATTATTAAAACTTTGAAATTTAAATACAATATTTGTATTTCACAAAATAATTAAAGAGGAGAAACTTACTTAATGCAGCTACGGCAATCTTAGTTGGGAATTTTACAGTCTCCTTTTTTCTGCCACTCTTGCTCAATAGTCCAGAATTTACATTCTCTTCCCCAGCAAGAAGCTTGACAATGCTCCTGTACATTTTTACAGGTTTTTTCTTGTACTGTCTGTATGTGTAGTGGATCTCTGTTTTTTCCACATACACTCCACGTCCAATGCATGCCTGTCAAAATTTATAAAAATAAGCAAATAATATAATCTTTTTTTAACTTTTTGGTATTTGAGATGAATCCTATCCCTGCCCGACCCAAAATTTCAGACTTGCTCACCAATTTTGGTTTTTGTCTCAAAAAAGAAAGGAATGCATGAAGTTTGAATCCATTCAAAATCTGAGCTCTGTAGCTCAAACAGTTTCGCAGATATGAATTCCAAAAATTTTGATGAAAAGTAGCGTCTTTGAGAGGTGGTGTAGATAGAACTCTATGAATCTTTGCAGTAATGTAAAAACTCACTACACCATTGGAAAGAGAATTGAAAACTGATTCTAAACCATCATTCGCACAAAGTTGTTTTTTTTTTTCCTACCCTTCAATCAAAGTTATCAGCAAAAATTAGCAGAACCTCGTAACTCTCCTGACAAAATTACACTGTAAAAAAATTTCTGGCGGTATTCTGTACCGTGGCGACTGAAACGCCTCATCTGGAGCGGTGGGTAGCCGAATTCTGCTCGCCATGGCGAGCAGAATTCAGGTCGCCAGTGGCGAGCAGAATTCCGACCGCCATTGGCGTGCCAGTGAAGCCAGCCGCATACAATTACATGATTCTGTCACGTGGCGTCGGTGGGACCAGCAGGGTAAATCCGGACACTACTTTTATGCATTTTTACAGCAAATTACACAATGTAGGTTCATAATTTAGATAGATACTTTTCCGGGAGGCTCTGGGGATTTAAATAATTAGTAGTTCCATATTTTAGAGCCGCCCAGAGCAGTGCAATTTCAATAATAGGACCCGACCAGTACACACACTGTGAAGCGGTACTTCAATGCGTGTGCCGCATAGCACCAGTGCTAAGCCACGGTCACTAGATACAGCTTTAACGTCACTACGCTGGAGTCGAAAATTTTTAATATCCTGCGGACTTTTGCGCGTAATCTTGATTATAGGTATTTCACTCGATCTCTAACTTACAAATCTTAGTTAAAAATGCACTAAATTTACAATTTTGAAAAAGTCCTGTGAGGTAAAGGTTGTTGTACACATTCTTATGGCGTATTTTGCGAAACCAGTGTCCTTCTACTAAGATAGCACTGACTTTTGCAGAAGTTGCTTAACTTCTGAAATGGACCAATTTTGCCTCGAAAATTCCAACATCACTCTGGTTCCGCAGTTACGGGTTAAGTTGGTGTGTACTAGCACGTAGCTGCAGTGCAGTATTGGCATATCGACCTGTTCTACTGCCTTTAAATAGCAAAAATAGGGACTGTCCGGATTTGTCCCGGCTTCGGGTTTAAATCCGGACGGGGTTTCAGAGGCTTGTGCAGGTGAACTGGCGCAAAGAAAATTTCCTCTCC